AGGAAACACAAAATGTCATTTAAAAATACACTTAAGTTAATTTTTAGCTTGTCCGCAGCAGGGCTAAAGGTAAAAAGAAACTACCTGTCCGGTGCCTGGAACTACATGTCCCTGGGCCTCTGACGATATGGACTTAACATCCCTGATACACTATATTGCCAAAAGTATTGGGACGCCTGCCTTTACACGCACATGAACTTTTATGGCATGCCCCAGTCTTAGTCTGTAGGGTTCAATATTGAGGTGGCCTACCCTTTGCAGCTAAAACAGCTTCAACTCTTCTGGGAAACCTGTCCACAGGGTTTAGGAGTGTGTTTATTGGAAAGTTTGACCATTCTTCTAGAAGCGCATTTGTTGGTGGTCAGGCACTGATGTCAGATGAGAAGGCCTGGCTCGCAGTCTCCACTCTAATTCATCCCAAAGGTGTTCTATTCGGTTGAGGTCAGGACTCTGCGCAGGCCAGTCAAGTTCCTCCACCTCAAACTCGCTCATCCTTGCTTTGTGCACTGGTACGCAGTCATGTTGGAACAGGAAGGGGCCATCCCCAAAACTGTTCCCACAAAGTTGGGAGAATGAAATTGTGCAAAATGTCTTGATATGCTGAGGCCTTAAGAGTTCCCTTCACTGGAACTAAGGGGCCAAGCCCTGAAAAACAACCCCACACCTTAACACTTTACACTTGGCGCAATGCAGTCAGGCAAGTACTGTTCTCCCGGCAACCGCAAACCTAGACACGTCCATTGGTTTGCCAGACAGAGAAGCGTGATTGAGCACTTTAGAGAACACGTCTCCACTGCTCTAAAATTTACACCACTGCATCCGACACTTTTGCATTGCACTTGGTGATGTAAGGCTTGGATGCAGCTGCTCGGCCAATGGAAAACCATTCCATGAAGCTCTCTATGCACTGTTGTGCTAATCTGTAGGCCACACCAAGTTTGGAGGTCTTTAGCTATTGAACTCTGCAGACAACGACTTTGCACTGCGCGCTTCAGCATTCGCTGACCCCCCGCTTCTTTCGTTTTATGTGGCCTACCACTTTGTGGCTGAGTTGCTGTTGTTCCCAGTTGTTTCTACTTTGTTATAGTACCCCTAAAACAGTTGACTGTGGAATATTTAGTAGCAAGGAAAGTTTCACAAATGGACTTAATGCACAGGTGGCAACCTATCACGGTACCACGCTTGAATTCACTGAGCTCATGAGAGCGACCTATTCTATCAAATGTTTGTAGAAGCAGTCTGCATACCTAGGGGCTTGATTTTATACACCTGTGGCCATGGATGTGATTGAAACATCTGAATCAAATGATTTGGAGGGGTGTCCCAATACTTTTGGCAATATAGTGTATGTTCAACTGGGTACACACTTTTTGAACGCATCAGTTTTGGATTTTAAATAGGAGCACCTAACAAGCCCCCCTGTTTTTGTAAGTTATAGTTTGAAAAAACAGATCTTCTGTTAGCGAAAAGGAAAAAAATACTGCTAACTATAGCGACTAGTCTGGGGTATTCCTTTAATTTTCTGACCCATACTAGATACGTGAAAGCTTAAAGCCCAAATTAAATCAGCTAAATACAATCCACGTGTATAAAAAAAAATGTGTTTAATGTCATACAGTTTTTCTTTTTAAAGCAACCACAGCTTGAGTAAAAAGGCCTGTCCTCTGCCAGCATTCTGCAGAGAAGGATCTTTCCTATCAGTCTCCAATCAGCAATGCACATTCTCCCAGTTGACTGGAGAGCTTTGACTCAGCAAGAACCATTGCAGAGAGACCTCTGCGCTTCTCCACAGAGAGCATGGATTCTTCAAAGCACAGCATTTTTACTCATTCTGTGGCTGATTTGTTAATAAAACAATCTGTAAGCCTTGTACACCTTTTATTTTGATGCACGTTGAAGGTTAATAGTGCATTAAAACTAAAAGTTCTGTTGGCATTTAGTCTATTTGCTTCGTGCAGTAATTCCAGTGAAAAGTCAGCTGTTGTTTTTCTTTCACAAAATAGAAAATGAGATAAATGTGCTGCATACGTATATTTTTTACAACATGCTTACTGCTAATTGATATATTTTTGTCTGGAGTTTGTTTAAAGGAGCTTTTCGCCATCATCAAGGAAGTAGGATCTTCATATATGAGTAGACTTTGCCATGCCATTGGATTTAAAGGGCAGCTCTAGGCAACAAGGAAATTTAATTGATCAACTGCTCATTGTCGTGCATGATACAAAACATCAGCACTGTAATCAGGGTCAGAAAAATCTGCTCAGTTTACTTTTACTGCAAGTTAATGAAGTTGTAATATTATGAAATCATTAAAGTGATACTAATCACACACTTTCATTTACATTATCTCTTCTGTTTCTGTATGTGGATGATTGCACTGTAATTATTTTAATATATAAAAAAAAAATCGAAGTGCCCTTTTCCTAATCGATATACAGCTGTCACATGACCCAGCTCTTTTCCCGGCTTGTCTGCAGGGAAACATGAGCAGGAGGAGCTTCTAGTCTTCTGCTGCTGGTCACATGTTAAAAAACAGCCTTTGGTATACAGAGTAAAAATAAATATCAATAACATTTTAAATTGTCTTACAAATATTTATATTTGAAAACAAATCTGTGTTATTTCTTGGCAATAAACATGGGTATGGGCGGATTTCTGCCAGTCACAGGCTGTGTCACACTCCTCCAGCTGTGTCTTAGAACAACAGGGAGGTGACGCCTCCATCAATCAAGATGTAATATCCCACCCCCATTATGTTTAGCTGGTTAGTGGGCTTTATGAAGGAGAAGGGAGTAGGCTGTCGTTTACCACTGTGTATACACCCACATGTTACTCTAGTCACATGGGGTTGCTCATGTGATAGGGAAGAAAAGCTCAGCATATAAACTCACTGAAATCTGAGCACTAGCTGTCAGCACTGCTCTGCAAAATCCTCAACTGTAGTGGGGACATGGTGTCAGGAATGGACCTGGCCAACAATGGTGGGACTCACCTGCCTTTTGATCTGCAGTACCAGGGCTGGCCAGCGGGTGCTCCCAGCAATCAGAGACTCAACCTGTCAGCCAGCTAACACCTGGAACTGATTATACTGGTGTATTTAAGGGATGGCCAGACCTGCAGACTCTGCCTTGGTGTTGTGTTTGTCATTGGGCCCTGTATCTGTCCTGCATCCTGTTTCTGTTCCTTTGCTGACCCTGCTGATCTGAGCTTGAACCGCTGCACTGACTTTCTCCTGCTCTGATCCCGGCTCGCTCCTGACCATCCTCTTCTGCCTGACCCTCTGTACCACGCTGCTTGCTACCTGTTCTGATCCCTGGCTTGTGACCCTGACCATCCCTCTGCCTGACCCTCTGTACTACGCTGCTTGCTACCTGCTCTGAACCTGGCCTGTGACCCCGACCAATCTCCGCTTGCTCCCCCTGTACCTACCTGCCCTATTGATTATTGACCCGTCCTGCCTGACGACGCTTTGCTTGTATGTACTGTTATCTGTGGGTGGTTGGTTTGGTTTGTTTGCACTGTATTATGTTTTAGTATTGCACTGGACGTTTATGTTTGTATGGTTAGTGTTAATAAATTTTATTGTTTATCACATATCTGAGTCTGCGTTTCCCTGCGTCAGTCACACACCTCTGGTCATACCCGGGAGCCCTGACATTACACCAAGGCCAATCCTGACCAGAAGTGGCTGCACAGGGAAGCCATCTTGGTTTGTTGATGGGAAGGATGGATCTGGATGAGGTTGCGTATTTTTATATCTGCTAGTGTTTGATGACAGGGAGTATGCTTATCAAACTCTGAAGGAGTATACCCGGGGATGAACTGCTAGAATGTATACGGGCTTGCTCATGTTCTAGTAGATCAGGGCACAGAGTTCTCTGAGGTGCAGCCTTTGATTGAGGTTTGTGCTGAGTTGGTTTCATCTGGTACCCCCGAATGCAGGGATGAATTTTTGCCACCATTTTGTGCAGACCAGGTAGAGTCCCTGGTATGGTTATTAGAGGATGATGTGGGTTACTTTCTGGAGCGTTATTTCCACATGTTCACCACAGACACTGAGAGATTGTATAAACGCAGTGCAGTCATTGACCAGACAGGCTTTGTGTAAGCTCAGCTTTGTTCAACCCATGCTGCAGACATGGACAGATTTGTTGCACCCAGCCTCAGTCAGCTTACAAAGGACCCAGTCCTGCTTCTAATCTATTTCCTCAAAACTCTATTCCTGCATTCCCAACAGCTCCTCACTGCCCTGCTATCTACCGCATGTCAGTACCCTGTTCCCACTCGCTGCACCTATCCTGCCTTTAACCCTGTAAAAAAAGCCCTCTGTAGCAACTGCTCCCTCTCCTGTTCCATCCTCCAGTTCTTCTCTGTCTCCAGCTGCTCCATTCGTTTGCAGACCTGCGTTTACTTGCAGTGCTCCAGTAGTTAAAACCAGAAAAAAAGCGAAAATTCTTTCCAACCAATACCATCCTGCCAGTATCCAAACCAGTGAACCTGCCTTCCGTGGTTCAGCCTGAATCCTCTACTCGGCCTGAATCCTCTACTCGGCCTGAATCCTCTACTCGGCCTGAATCCTCTACTCGGGCCTGATGCCTCTCTTCAGCCTGAAGCCTCTACTCAGCCTGGTGCCTCTACTCAGCCTTGGTGCCTCTACTCAGCCTGGTGCCTCCACTCAGCCTGATGAAACTGATCAGCCTGATGATCCTATTAGGCCAGTTGACTCGATACCCGCTGTTGATCCAAACAATCCGGTACCTGATCCAGTGCCCGCTGTCGTGCCAATTGACTCAGAGCCCGCTGTCGTACCTGGTGACTTTCGGTGCCCACTGCCTTGCCAGATGACGCGGTGCCCGCTGGTGAGCCAAATGACCTGATGCCTGGTGACCAGTGCCCGCTGTCAATACCTGGTGAACCGATGCCCGCTGTCAAGCCAGACGATCCAATGCCTGGTGACCGGTGCCCGCTGTCGTGCCAATTGACTCCAGAGCCCGCTGTCGTACCTGGGGACTTGGTGCCCACTGCCTTGCCAGATGACGCGGTGCCCGCTGGCGAGCCAAATGACCTGATGCCTGGTGACCCAGTGCCCGCTGTCATACCTGGTGACCTGATGCCCGCTGTCAAGCCAGACGATCCAATGCCTGGTGACCCGGTGCCCGCTGTCGTGCCAATTGACTCAGAGCCCGCTGTCGTACCTGGGGACTTGGTGCCCACTGCCTTGCCAGATGACGCGGTGCCCGCTGGCGAGCCAAATGACCTGATGACCCAAATGCCCGCTGTCAGCCAGACGATTCAATGCCTGCCCCAGTGCCCGCGGTCATGCCAGTTGACTCGGAGCCCCACTGCCTTGCCAGATGACGCGGTGCTCGCTGTCGAGCCAAATGACTTGATGCCTGGTGACCCAGTGCCCGCTGTCATACCTGGTGACCCGATGCCCGCTGTCGAGCCAGACGACCCAATGCCTGGTGACCCGGTGCCCACTGCCTTGCCAGATGACGCGGTGCCCGCTGGTAAGCCAAATGACCTGATGCCTGGTGACCCAGTGCCCGCTGTCATGCTAGTTGACTCGGAGCCCACTGTCGTGCCTGGTGACTCGGTGCCCGCCGCTTCGCCTGGGGGGCCTGAGACCTGTCGCTCCGCCTGAGGGCCCGAGACCTGTCGCTCCGCCTGGGGGCCCGCCGCTCCGCCTGGGGGCCCGACGCCCGTCGCCCCGCCTGGGGGCCCGTCGCCCCGCCTGGGGGCCCGACGCCGTCGCCCCGCCTGGGGGCCGTCACCCCGCCTGGGGGCCCGACGCCCGTCGCCCCGCCTGGGGCCCGCCGCCCCGCCTGGGGGCCCGACGCCCGTCGCCCCGCCTGGGGGCCGTCGCCCCGCCTGGGGGCCCGACGCCCGTCGCCCCGCCTGGGGGCCCGACGCCCGTCGCCCCGCCTGGGGGCCCGACGCCCGTCGCCCCGCCTGGGGGCCCGCCGCCCGCCGCCCCCGCCTGGGGGCCCGACGCCCGCCGCCCCGCCTGGGGGCCCGACGCCCGCCGCCCCCCGCCTGGGGGCCCGCCGCCCGCCGCCCCGCCTGGGGGGCCCGCCGCCCGCCGCCCCGCCTGGGGGCCCGACGCCCGCCGCCCCGCCTGGGGGCCCGACGCCCGTCGCCCCGCCTGGGGGCCCGACGCCCGTCGCCCCGCCTGGGGGCCGACGCCCGTCGCCCCGCCTGGGGGCCCGACGCCCGCCGCCCCGCCTGGGGGCCCGACGCCCGCCCGCCCCGCCTGGGGGCCCGACGCCCGCCGCCCCGCCTGGGGGCCGACGCCCGTCGCCCGCCTGGGGGCCCGGTGCCTGCTGCTCCGCCTTGGTGGCTCGGTGCCTGCTGCTCCGCCTGGTGGCTCGGTGCCTGCTGCTCCGCCTGGTAATCCGATGTGCCTCTGCCCAAAGTCCAACCCGATGTGCCTCTGCCCGATGTGCCTCTGCCCGATGTGCCTCTGCCCGATGTGCCTCTGCCCGATGTGCCTCTTGCCCGGAGTCCAGCCCGATGTGCCTCTGCCCGGAGTCCAGCCGATGTGCCTCTGCCCGGGAGTCCAGCCCGATGTGCCTCTGCCCGGAGTCCAGCCCGATTGTGCCTCTGCCCGGAGTCCAGCCCGATGTGCCTCTGCCGGAGTCCAGCCCGATGTGCCTCTGCCCGGAGTCCAGCCCGATGTGCCTCTGCCCGGAGTCCAGCCCGATGTGCCTCTGCCCGGAGTCCAGCCCGATGTGCCTCTGCCCGGTGTGCCTCTGCCCGATGTGCCTCTGCCCGGAGTCCAGCCCGATGTGCCTCTGCCCGATGTGCCTCTGCCCGGTGTGCCTCTGCCCGATGTGCCTCTGCCCGGTGTGCCGCTGCCCGGAGTCCTGCCCGGTGTGCCAGTCTTTGATATCCCGCCAGTTACCAGACCCGGGCGGTGGAACATTTTTGCCCAGCTAGGACTGTTTGGAGCGTCCTGAGGCCGCTCCTTGAGGGGGGGGGTACTGTCAGGAATGGACTGGCCAGCAATGGTGGGACTCACCTGCCTTTTGATCTGGCAGTACCAGGGCTGGCCAGCGGGTGCTCCCAGCAATCAGAGACTCAACCTGTCAGCCAGCTAACACCTGGAACTGATTTTATACTGGTGTATTTAAGGGATGGCCAGACCTGCAGACTCTGCCTTGGTGTTGTGTTTGTCCTGGGCCCTGTATCTGTCCTGCATCCTGTTTCTGTTCCTTTGCTGACCCTGCCTGATCTGAACCGCTGCTGACTTCTCCTGCTCTGATCCCGGCTCGCTCCTGACCATCCCTTCTGCCTGACCCTCTGTACCACGCTGCTTGCTACCTGTCTGATCCTGGCTTTGTGACCCTGACCATCCCTCTGCCTGACCCTCTGTACTACGCTGCTTGCTACCTGCTGAACCTGGCCTGTGACCCCGACCAATCTCCGCTTGCTCCCCCTGTACCTACCTGCCCTATTGATATTGACCCGGCCTGCCTGACGACGCTTGCTTGTATGTACTGTTATCTGTGGGTGGTTGGGTTTGGTTTGTTTGCACTGTATTATGTTTTAGTATTGCACTGCGTTTATGTTTGTATGGTTAGTGTTAATAAATTATATTGTTTATCACATATCTGAAGTCTGCGTTTCCCTGCGTCAGTCACACACCTCTGGTCATACCCGGGAGCCCTGACACATGGGTTGAATGGGGGAGAATTTTGCAGAATACAGAAAAGGAATCCCATAGTGACTGAGTATGAACAGAATGTAATACATTTATTGATAGTTTTTTAATGATGTGGGTTTAATGACACTTTAAGAATAGATTCTGCAAACATTTCAGAGTGCTCCTTGATGGGATGTCTCCTGTTACATAATTCTAAGCTCTTCATCCTCTCTGAGAAGTGAAAAGTCAAAAACAAATTGCTTCCGTATTGCCAAGGTTCTGACTTAGAGCCATTAAGAAAATAAGACTAGCTGTAACCGCAGGGGTTGGCAAGCAGGGAAAGTCAGCATCACAGAATGATTGCAAGTTTTAAATTAGAAGCATATAGCAGGTCCTGTTCCTTTGGGTTGAATTGAAAAAATAAATAAAGTGGAATTCCAGGATATACCTAGCTAATGTTAAAAATGCTCTCCTTCCCAAGACCTCCTGTGTAAGAAAGATGTATATACTTACCTATTTTCAATGCGCTCCAGTCCGGTCATGTGATCCTGCTCCCCTGTGTCAGCCAGCAGCAGCTACAGTGGACAGGAGGGAGCACGACAACAGATGGTCCATGGGAACTGTGCTTCTGATGAATAATTCATTCAGCAGTTCCTCCAAAAATAATATGTCCTGCCAGGTAAGGCCTGGACAATTCATTCAGTCAGCTAAAGGTGCTTGCAAATATAGCAATAATTTATAAAATAACTTAACTGAATTAATAGCTCTAACAAACACAAATCAGATAAGTGGAAATAAGGACTACAGATTATGAAATAAGGTATTATTTATTTACAATAAGTCACATACAAACAGATAATGTAATAGCTCAATTGTGATGCACACAGACACCAAGATAATTTGCTTAAACTTTACAAAATTTTTCCGTAGTAGTAGTTTACATATATATATATATATATATATATATATATATATATATATATATATTTATATATTGAGCAAAATCAATAGTTAATTTCTCCCCATAGACAAAATAACCATTAATATCTAATTATCAAAACAGTAGTCTGTGTTTTACGGCATTTCAGCAGTTATTTCCTTGCAGAAGGAATAAGCATCAAAATACGCAAAACCGTATGCCAATATGACCAAGAAACAAAATAAGAATAATATTACTACTAAAGCTAAACTATATAAAGTTGAGTGGTTATTTTATCGTATGGAAACAATTAGGTTACCACAAAAATGACAAAAAGCTTATTAATTTGGTCAAGCAGAATGACCAAAATAGAAATTATAGTTACCCTCCAATTTTCTGATAAATCAAAAGATAGCTGCCGATTGATGGCTAGAGTTGAGCTCTCACAAAATGGCATCTGGAGAGGCTGAAGTTGTGTGCCAGAGATGCAGTAAGATGGATGGTCAGATGGAAGGTAGTGTCCTGATGAAATGTTGTGATCAGATGGCTGTGATCTCTGTATGTCCTATCCGATCAGTGAATGTTCTCCTGATGGAATGTGATCTGATCACATGAATGGGGTCTTATCTTGTGAAGGTGATCTGTGTGCCCGTCTACATGACTTTCCCTTTTATCCATTGGCACACAATACATCCATATAACATTTGAAAATATACCGGCCTAATAGGTAGCCCAGCAGGTGTTACCTTCTCTTAATTGGTGACTTTGTCTCAGATTCCACCCATGGTTTGTTTTATTATTACCACCATTTTGCCACTGGGTGCCACTCTAAGTCCTGATTATTTTGAGTTTCCATGAAATTGAAGTAACTCATTTGTTATAGAGAAAGATTACTATTATATTATAACAAATTGGACTTTCTGACAACTGTACAAATGGCTTGGAGGGTAAATTATGTTAATGCTTAACTAAAAGAGTTGTTAGTTTCGGTATATTATATATATATATATATATATATATATATATATAGAGTGATTCTTTAAGTAGGTTAATCACTAAACCGCGCCAATTTAAGCTTTTAAATATTCAATATTATATCCAATCAACTGCCACTTTAAATTACTATGTTGTAGTAATACCACTGCTAATAATACTGAATTAGCGGCACATTATATATATGTGTCACGCTAATTCCTTTTGATGGTCTCTATGTGCAAACCTATTTACACAAATATTAAGTGACATAAATTATATGTGACAAAAAAATAATCAATATTATATTGTTATAATAGTGCCCACAAAAACAACGTGAAATATAAGTCTAGTGTAATCAATAATGAATTACAAAAAAAAACAATTGTCAAAAAAATCTTTCACAATGTGAATCCTTTGTGACTCCCAGTGCAGAAATAAATAAACCACGTGCTGTGCTTTTCATACACCCCTCTTAGGTGTGCACTCACCAGGAACATAGCCTTTAATGAGCCTTATTGCATAAATTCCAGAAATCAGGGTCATCAGAACACAGCCTTTTTTCCACTTTATATAGACTCCAAATTGGGAGGATAATACAGTTTTTTTTTACATCAACCACAAACAATTGATATATTATAAAAGATATATAGATGATCTCATCCTAATTTGGGAGGGATCAAAAGCTTAATTGGAGAAGTTTATGGAGAAATTAAACGATAATCAAAAGCTATTAAATTAGATTACCAGATGAGCACGAGTTCTATTAATTTTTTTGGATGTTATTATACAAAGAAGTGGCAATGAGATTGTCACTAAGGTGTATTTTAAACCAACAGACAGAAATTGTTACTTATCTGTTAATAGTGGACATGATCCGATCTGGCTCAAGAACATACCTAGAGCCAGTTCATGAGGATAAGAAGGAACTGCACATTGAATGGTGACTACTTATTACAGACGGATATTATTTAAAAATAGATTTTTTACAAAAGGGATATTCAAATGAATTTTTGAATCAGAATATACAAGAAATCCTTGGTGTCCCAAGAGGGAAAATTGCTTTAATACCACAAATAAAGAGGTTAATAAAGAACATCAGTGGAATTTTATGTCCACTTATCATTCACAATATAAGGAAGTGGAAAATGTCTTTCAAAACATTGGCATATACTCCAGATGGATAAGGTACTTGGACCAGTATTACCTAACAGGCCGAGATTCATCTATAGAAGGGCCCCAAACTTGTAGGGGAAAGGAGTGTTAAAAAAGTCTGGGGATGCTCCAAAAATTATGTCTATGTTCCCTAATGAGGGTTTAAAGCTTGTAGAAAATGTAAAGCATGTAAAGTAGCTATAGGTAATAAGGTGAAACGAGTCAATTTTAAAGTACATGATCAAGAGTATAAAATCTCAGAATTTTATAAACATGTGACACCCACGTACAGCCAGGTCCATATAACTATT